CTCTCAGTTATCTGGCCCGCTGTGAAAAAAGTTTGGTGACCCCTGTAGTAGATAGTGAACTTTTGAAATTTGTAGGATTGTGGTGCCATCTAGGCTTGCAGTATGTAATTAAGGAGAAAATTAACATGTGCAATACTGATTTATTCATTTATGTTTTAACTAATTTTATGGTATTACATTTTAAACGTGTGTACACTAGATTGAAGGTGATAAATTAATAAAACCCACTGGTTGTTATTAAAAGTAATATATGACAGTATTTATACATAAAGCCAAAGAAAGGCGTCTTCGTTGAGTTAATTAAAAACAACAACAACTATCAAATTACATTCTATATTCATAAGTTCGCAGCGTTAAAACGATGACTTGGGAACTTAGATTCAATGTGGAAACGTTAATGGAATATAGATACATGCGGCTGTTCTTTAATTATACCAAGTATCACGAGTAGCATTACTTTGAATTCTATCACTTGCCTTTCTCCAATAATTATAGTATATATATATATATTATATTATATTTTATATAATAAATAGCATTATTATTATAATACATATGTTTAATAATAATTTATTTTCAGGCACATTATGCTACTATATTAAGAGTAAAAAATACAAAATATGACGTTTTTTTGGCACAATTATATAGGTTACAGCCGACTAGTTGCAGTAACACAGTTACCCTAATGGTGGTAACTGTGTTACCGAAACTAGTCGGCTGTAACCTATAATAAAGATTTTACCCTTTATTATGCCGAGAAACTTCGTTTTTTGTGCACATGTACATTTTGCTCAAACGAACAAACGTCTGTCAAAAAGTTTTGAGATGAATCTATAGGACAAAGACGTGATGTTACAGTAAAGGTTGCAATTCTGGGATAAACATCCTAACTTGAAATAGCTTTCTAAAGAGAAGTAGTGTATTTATGTAATAACAACAATGTTGGAATTGTGGTATTTCATTGCTCTGATTAACATTATAGTGAAGAACAGTAATAGCAACAGCAGGAGGAACGTTGTTGTTGTTGTTTGTTATCAAACATTGGGGGAACGATAGAAAATGTGAAGCGGAATTAATTTTATAGTTTTGATTTTGATAAAGTTATAGAAAGGGATGAACACAATATAAAACAAAGTTAAAAGTAATCTTCATTATCACTTACGCTTAAACAACGTAATCTATTTCACACCGAAACAGTTGTTTAAGCAATTTGTTTATCTAAGTAGTGCCTCAACCACTACTGTATCTGTCGTATCCCAGACGGCCCGATGAGCACTGATATTGAGCGAAAGGCCTCGTCGGCACTTGATATAATATCGATGACATCTTATTATACATTATTCCTTACTTTCACTCTAACCTTTAAAATGTATTATTTAATCAAGAATACAATAGATAGACAACTGAACTACGACAAAAGACAGTGCTGTTCACTATATTGGAGACCACTCACTAGAAGGAATTCTGAATGCGATTCTCAAAGGAATCTGAATAAGTATGATTGGGAGAATACAACTACCATACAAAGAAAACAACAGCTTCGTCTCTTCCAGAAAACATGCACTACTTACGTCATTGGTCATAAATAAGGAAGTTATAATCTCAGGAGTTAATAAACTCGCTGCTAGTTGAAGTACGACAGAAACTATATAGTATGCTAGCCTATATAGCTCTTCAGCAATCTCTTTCATGAGGAAACTTTCATTACACTAAAGGAGGGAATGACCCGTAATAATATCACATAAACCAATTATTCGCTTTCCAGAACTGATCTGTACTGTCAAGCCCATACGCAAGGCCGTACGTGTATAGAACTACCGCAACAACAACGAACATTTGACACGTGTGTGTACAGTAACAAACATTTAATTCTTAAACGTTTCGGAATATACATATTCCATCTTCGGCAATAAATAAATAAATATTAGGTACAAAAATTTACAAAGTTCAAACATTTTACAAAAGGTAATTAAAATACAGAAGGTAAGGATGAACTAAACTAAAAGATAAACAAATAAACAAAGAATAGGCTAAATGAACAACTGTAACAATATTATAGAAGTTATTCACAACAGACTTTATTGTAGTGAAGTTGTGTTATTATTTAAAGTTGGGAGTTCATTTAATAGATGGGTGGTTATTGTTTTCACGATGTGTGCGGCCTGGCATGGCCAGGTGGATAAGGCGCTCGACTCACAATCTGAGGGTCGCGGGTTCGAATCCGCATACCACCAAACATGCTCGCCCTTTCAGCCGTGGGGGCGTTATAATGTGACAGTCAATCCCACTATTCGTTGGTAAAAGAGTAGCCCAAGAGTTGGCGGTGGGTGGTGATGACTAGCTGCCTTCCCTCTAGTCTTACAGTGCTAAATTAGGGACGGCTAGCGCAGATAGCCGTCGTGTAGCTTTGCGCGAAATTCAAAAACAAAACATATATATATATATATATATTAGTTCCGAAATATTTTATTGTGACTGTTGGAGATAGGAAAATCTGTGAACACCTTTCTTTCATTGAAGATAGCTGTTATCGTTTACAATATTATCTACAAACAGAAACAATTATAGCTAGATGGAAAAAACTCCTATAGGGTATTGAGAAGTTGAGTACATTCCGTGCGAGCTTCTGAATAAATCATCAGACCATGTTTATCATCACGTGGTGAGTTCGTGTTTGCTTGCTTCAGTTCCGTTACTGATTTCACAATTCAGTTTGTGTGGGTGGTGTGGCTAACATAAGCCAGAGCTTGATTGATAACTAGTCTCCCAGTAAAAATATAAATATAAGAGACGTTACTGCCTTAAACGAAGAGTGCATATATGTATGTGTGTGTTTTAAATTGTTTTATTCTATACATTCAGTAACCACAAGTGGCTTCTCTCTCTCAGCTAGACGTTGTTGAGTATAAGTGGAACCGAAGTGTAATGATCGTGTATATTATAAATTTACCATCACATATTGACCATTTAAACCAATTATCAAGTGTGTAACAGTGGGTTTTTGAAAGTGACCATATTAAGTACAAGTAATATAAGTTTGAAAGCTCTGTGGTTGTTTGAAGTCAGAAAGCGAAAAGAGAATTTTTGTATACCAAGGATATAGTGACTTGTTTGTCTGATATAAATATCATGACTATGCAGGCGTACCAACTGTTGTGGTGTATGACTATATGCTGGGGTGAGTATAGTTATTTCCCTTCTGGAGCTTTATGTTTAACGGTGTGTGTTTTCTATCCCATACCTCTTGAAAAGAAACACAAAAAACATACCAATATTTTTAGCAGTTGTACATTCATAAAATTTAATGATCGAAATTAATGTCCCCCGATGGAACAGCGGTAAATTTACAGACTTATAACGTTAACATCCGACGTTCGATTTCCCTCGTTGGACACAACAGATAGCCTATTGTGGCTTTTCTCTAAAACAAACGAACGAAATTATTTTTGAGGTAATATCTTACAATATGGGTTTGTAATTATTTGAATATCATGACAAATGCTATAAATTATTTAAACGTCTGAGTGATTCAGAATCTGTTTCCTTTTATTGGAAACTTTTCAAAGGCTACAAATAGTTTCGGTAAAAAAGAAAACAACTAACTATATTCGAGACTCAAAATATGAAATAAGCCGTATAGGCCTAAGAACCAAACGCCTCAGTAGTCATATCATTTTAGAAGTGCTGTTTAAGGATGCCTCTCTAAATTTAAAATTAAAAAAAAATCACTTCCCAGAAGATACCAATTTTTTTATACATCCACGGATTTCTAATAAGTGTACAATGTAAGTAATAATAATAAAAATTTGAGTTCAAATGGCCTTTGCAAGAGGAGATTTTGACATAGGAATGTTGTCCGTTTCTATAGATTGTTTTATTCTAGAGACGTTATTATTAGCTTGAAACTATTTGCTACCAAGAAATGCTTTTATAAGTATTTACAATAGGATGTGTGCTTAGCGATGTCGATATTTCTGTACAATCTTTTTGGCACAGTATTTTTATATGAAATGTTGCAAGTTTTTGTTGATTTACTGTCCTATGCGTATTAGTAATAAATAGTTCAAGAATCATTTGGTGACAAACATGGATTTGTTCTAAGCCTGCTAAGAAACCACTGAAATTTTAGGCAAATGTATATATATAAGCAAATGTGAATAACTTTTTAAACCATAGAGATGTAACTTAAACGTTTAATAATCGAAGTATCATTAAAATGTGCTACTAATCATAATTTAACATTAAATTTGATTCATTCACCTTCACAATGTTTCTTTTCCTGTTTGAATCACATGAATTTGCTGAAGTAATCATATGAAGAGAAAAGTCTGTTATCAAACAATTTAGTCTTTTAACTAAGATAATTCTAATATTCAGTGGAAAAATGTGTTTCTACTAAAACATTTTGATTTAAATTGTGAGGCCTTAATTAACCGATAATGACCAATACATATGGAAATAAATTTAACACAGTACTAATTGCCTGTCTCGATAACACCCTTTGCATATATGAATTAAGGCAGTATAAAACTTGTCATAGAAGTCCTGTTTTTCCGCACCAGTAACACAAAGTAAACTAATAAGAGTAAGAGCGATCTTTAGTTAACACTATACATATTCAATATTATTGTTTGAGATAACAATTTCTTTAAACTTTATTAACTCTGACAGAGAAAATTATATCTCAGTGATTCGTTCATTGGTACATCAATAATTCTGAAAAATTTGATCAATTAAACAGTGTGATATAATTAGTTTCCAAAGGTTAACCATTTATTACAATCACTAAAAGCGCTCTTTTCCCATCGTTTTATTGAATGTAGGATTGAGTCTTGTGTCTCGTGGTACATCTGTTTCAATGAAGCTTGTACTATCTGTATAAAATGCAATATATGTGAAAAGCTGGCTAGTGTATATGCAGTAAGTTCTAACAACATGATAAGAAGATTAATAAGAGTTTACTACGATATTACCAATTGGACTTATGTATTTCAGTTGTACATCTGTTTCAATGAAGCTTGTACTATCTGTATAAAATGCAATATGTGTGAAAAGCTGGCTAGTGTATATACAGTAAGCTCTAACAACATGATAAGAAGATTAATAAGAGTTTACTACGATATTACCAATTGGACTTATGTATTTCAATTGTACATCTGTTTCAATAAAGCTTGTACTATGTGTATAAAATGCAATATATGTGAAAAGCTGGCTAGTGTATATACAGTAAGCTCTAACAACATGATAAGAAGATTAATGAGTTTACTACGATATTACCAATTGGACTTATGTATTTCAGTTATACATCTGTTTCAATGAAGCTTGTACTATCTGTATAAAATGCAATATATGTGAAAAGCTGGCTAGTGTATATGCAGTAAGTTCTAACAACATGATAAGAAGATTAATAAGAGTTTAGTACGATATTACCAATTGGACTTATGTATTTCAGTTAAATAACAATGATAGTTTCAAGCTCATTTGATCTTAGGTTGTTGTTGTTTTCTTAATGCAAAGATATACATTGGGTATTTGCACACTGCCTACCACGGCCAATCGAACTCCGGATTTTAACGTTGTAAGGCCTGCAAACTTACCGCTAACCTACCGGGGGAAATCTTAAATCATACGACATATTTTTTCATTTAACTCCATACTAAAAAAATATATTATATTTACAAAACTGACATTACAGTGAATGTGAAATTTTGTCATTTCAATAAATATGTTATAATTCCATGTGTGCACTGAGCTGTAAATCAACAATTTTCATTTATCATTAGTGAAAAAAAAGAGTAAAACTTCTATGTTCATCGAGGAATATATAGGAAAGTTATGTTTATTTTCTTTGGGACACCCAATATTAGATGTTTATTTTCTTTGGGACGCCCAATATTAGATGTTTATTTATATATATACCTTATACATGGTAAAGTAACTCAAGATTTGAAATACACATAATTCAAGATTTATACTCAGCAATTACTTGTTTTCATAGAAAATCAAAGTAGAAAACATGTATATATACACAGATGATATGATGATTCTATTTTTCCAAGTCTATGTTCTGTACTTTTCTTTGGATGAACGAGTAGTTTTGTCTTAAGTGGGCTAAATCTTGACTGTGGCCACAGTTTCCTTGCTGAACGTTGACGAAATTTCGGTCTCTAACATATCGAACACTTTTCGGTCAATTCTCTCTCACCTTTTCTGTCTCTTTTCGTCTGCTCTCAATTGTTCGGTTGCTTCCACCTCATGCTAGTTTCGTATTATTCAATCAATTAATATCAGCTGTAAAGATAACTGGAAACATTTGGGACATTTCATCAGCTGATTTTAACTTGTTATCAGGAAGTAAGTTTTAGAACAGAGACTGAAATACCACTCACTAGAAATATATTTCTCGTGCATCAGGTATGATGAACCACATCGTACATTTCTGATGGTTGAATTGTTAGAACACTTTTCAAACATATCTTTGAACCTTCTGACTCTTAGATAGATCTATGTCATTTCTGTCATATTGCTGACCACAGGTAGTTTCATACAAAAATTAAGTTAGAAGACAGTATATTATATTTTATAATACATCTTCATACTTACAAAATTACTACATTTTTATGTAGCATAAATTGTGTTATCTTAATTTGTATACCATGGCAATAAAAAATGGAATCTAAAATAAACCAACTGGAATGCTATATTTTTTACTTAAGAGCTGAATATTTAATTAGTACAAAGGCCAACACGGTAATGTTGAAACGACCACATGACACTAAATTATTTGCTTTACTCGTAACTCTTATCGATTGCCAGTTAAATGAGAGGATAAGTTTGAGTTTAGATTTTCTTAAAATTGTGTCTAACAAGAATTTGGTTATATTTCAGCAGCAGTTGCGTTTGGCTGGAGCTCTTTTTTGTGTCCTGCTCCACGGTCTCCGGCTAACGGGGAGCATTTCATCTTTGAAAATGGACAGGTCGTAAAATTCCGATGTCTACCGGGATACACTATGGTTGGTAATGCCGAAATGAGGTGTATCCGTGGGCAATGGTCCAGTCCTACCCCTAAGTGTTCAGTTGTTAACCCACAGGGTAAGATAAAAGAAAGAAACAAAATGTTAATAGTTTCCAGGAATGCTCCATAGTTTTCCACTTTATGCGTTTAATGAGAGTTTACAAGGAATAATTTTAGAGGGAATTATTAAAAAATACGTGAAATCTACTAATTACTACGTACTTATTTATTAATGCTAGGTACTCTCAACTAAATAGTATTGATTTTTATATCATAGCATAATACTGAACAACACCTCATTCCATGTCATTAACAATCATTTTATTACACTTCACAATTTCTGAATTATTTTCCTTAAATCGCCTTCTACACATACATACATTCATATATATGTATATTTACGTACGTACTGGTAAAAAAAAGAAAGAAAAGCTTAAGTATAGAACATCAAATTAATAACTCTCAACATACCGCTATCTGTTGGTCCAAGATGATAAAAGAAATAGCGTTTCGCAAAAATGAGAAAAATCGACTTTTTTTTTTCTCAGTACTGTTATTAAAATATTTTATCTCTGAAACATAAAAACATTTTAGTTTTCTTAATTGCTTATGCATTTGTAGTATACAAATTTCACATGCTACACGTTGCTGTGCACGTGGTACGGTAAATTTTTTTGTACTAACGTGTACTTTGTTAACCAGCACCTTTATCTTTGTTTTTACATCACTTTCCTCTAGTTTTCTTGAAGCATTCTTGTGTTGGCTTACGAAATAAACATAAGATAAACATTAAAACATTAAATGAAACATAAAAATTGTAAACTTGAAATACAGTTGTGCATCAAAAATTATAATTACATGTAAATATTAAGCTGTCCTGTTTCACATATTAAAAATATAACATTCAAAGCCTCTTTCGCGTGATATTTAACCATACATAAAATTGTTCGCTAATAAAACTTTTCATAGTCTACAATAATAATAATTTTTGGGAACTTAAATGTCAGGTGCATTTCTCTCAATTTCAATAGCGAGCAATAGACTTAAAATAAGACCCAAAACTCGAGTGCTTTCGAATAGTTGATTATTCTTCTTCAGCAGAACAAAGAACACTTTATATGTGATCCTTTGAGCTAACTCTTTTATCAAAATAGCGTGCATTCATATTTGGTGTATAGGGTAAATACCAAAAACTTGCATTATTTTGTTTATTTACATCGATTCATGGTTTACGTTAATGCTGAAGTCAAAAACTTAATACTTAAAATACTTAAACTAAATGAAACTGGTTTAGCAATACGTATTTTTAAACTTGCTGAACTTATACTCTTTATATGATTTAAAACGATATAAGTTTAAAAGTTAGTAAAACCGATCGCTGTTAAATAACTAATAACACTGAGGTTCAACTGTGGGTCAGAGATTAATTTAAAAAAAAAACGTCAATAAACTGTGGTATAAATCAACAGTTTATAAGCAAGTATTTTATTTCATGAAATAGACGCTGACGCTCAAAGGGATCACAGATCAAGAAGTATAAAATAACTGGATGTGAATGGGTATTATACGCCTTTAATGTGATATGGATGTATAAAGCTCTTTGTAAGGGAAAAATTCACTTCACTGCCGTTTTAACACGTGAGATGAAGATCTCGAAGGATAAATGCATAAACCTCAAACACTTATATATATGTCAAAGTTGAGAGTATGTTATATGGCACCTTAAGATGAAGTAATTAAAGTGCAGACTCCTTTCAACTTCAAGTTGTTTTGCTATAAGGAGAGAGAGAGAGATGATTTTTTATAGAATAGCCAGACATTCTTCACGTATAGATTAATGCTCCAGATTTGATTTTTTGATTTTTCATGAAATGAAGAAGGTTCGAATATATATCTAAGATTTATTAATTTTTCATAATTAACTACGCAATACAAACTTTTTTCTTGTTTTTAATTAATTATTAATTGCAATCTACTATTACTCTCGTAGATGCTTACATCAACGCGCTTTCTCCTCTGTCTTTCCACATGTGGCATCTCTGAGTATATGGAGTGAAATCCTTGTCTTAAATTGCGTCGAATATTTGCGCTTATAAAGTATATATATATATATATTATCCTCAGTGATTTTTTAGGTGACGAACAGATGACAAATGATTTTGGTTCAAGTAAATTTAAATAAAAAGTCAACTATTGTACCTACTATCGTTTTCAGACCAATAGCGTTAATATTTTATAAATAAACAAAATTTTACAAGCTATTTGCTGTAGCTAAATATTTTTTCATATGCGAGATCTTTGCAAAGCAGTAAAAACATATTTCAGTCTAAATAAATAGGTGAATGAAAAGATAATGGTTCAGGGAAAATAATAATAATAATCTTATTGATTATTAACTAACGCATATCTATTATCACATTTTAAGTTTGAGAATTCATTACATTAACTTTTAGCAAAAGAACAGTCTGTGAAACTATTTTTCAAGTATGCAGGTTTATTTCTAATACACACGATATTTCCTCGTTACAATTATTCCTGCTTGTATTAATACGGCAGAAAGACCCAGTATCCCTTCTACCGGTGACTCATGGACAATATTGTCGGCTTATAATGCTAAAAATATTATTTGAATAAATCTAATCTTTGTATATTGTGTGACGTGTGGTGAGAATATATCAATACAACGGTATTAAACAGTGAATATACAGTATCTTTAATTACAGTTATCTAGTGTCCAAGAAGTCAACATACATACGGAATTCATTCTAATAAATTTCATGAAGTAAAATAAGATCGATATGAAAATTTTAAATATATTTTTAAAATTCAGTATTTATAACTAATTTAAATCTAACTAAATTCTATAAAATATGATAATACCAATGTTAAATAAAATCACTAAATAATTAATTAACCATAACCTACAATATCTAAATCCGTTTTAAAATTGTTTTTGTAAATATTAATAGCTATACTAAATGAATGATCTAAAAATAGTCTTAATCCGCTAGGGTATCAGGAGTTCCGATCGTCGACATCATATTTTTACCCTTTTATACAGAAGGTAAACGGATCGAAGAAAAGTCTGCCTTATTCCACCATCCGTCATTTGAGAAAGCACCAAATCCCCTCAACGAAAAGACCGTTATTCGGTTGGGGAAACCCTTCGCACCAAACGTTTCGACCTCATGGTGCTGAGTTTTCTTCAGGAGGAAGCAGACTACCAATCATAAATAATTATCAGCCATTTTACTCTAGAAGAAGAAGTAATCTCTTGAAAGTCGCACCACCCTTAAAAGAGCTTGAAAGTCATCCAGGATATTCGCCTGCACTGAAACGTTTGATCAAACAAGAAATTGACATTGCAGCAGTTCGTGAGGAAAGTAAAAATAGCTTAGAAAAAACACGTAAGCAAGACCGAAAAACACAAACAGTTTCGAACCATAAGAAACAAGGTCGAAACTTACGAGCAGGTTCTTCTTCTCTATTACCTCAAGCAGCCTCAAGCCCAAGAGTTTCTTACTCGAATAATTTTAATCCAACCAACTATCACCACAGAAGATACCACAATTCTCAGTGGCTACGCCGTACTAGAAAACCAGCGGCTGCTTACCGTCAGTCTCGAACTTACAGTAATCCCAGATCTCGCAAGCGCTATAGAAACTCACGTAAAAGATGGACACCTGGGAGAAAAATCCATACAACTGAGTTTCCAAGACACTCTCCAACAAGCGCAAGACGTACTATAGGTTCCGTTCTCTATACAAAGCGACCACTGATTTCAACTTTAGACAAGCAAAGTTTGAGAAGACATAACAATGGGAAAAATGAATTGGCTGAAATTCGACTTCAGAAATTAGTTGAAGCAATGGACAGACAACTGCAAAAAAATACTAAGTCCAATCATAATGAGCGTTCATCACCACGTACAGAAACATTGTTCCCTAGAGATCTTATTAACCAGGAACTACTTAATACTAGGGAAGCTACCAGACTTCCATCTTACCAGTCCATTAGCTCAAGCCAAGGTTTTCTGCCAGAAGTAAGTCGTACACATCCGAAAACTAACTCACATAAACATGTGAGTAGAAGTAGAGAACGTATGCCATACTTCCGTCACAATATGGTGAGTAGGAAATAGCCATGTTGATGTTCTTACAGGCAGCTGATAATGCAAGTGGAAATAACTCGTAATGAGATTTGGTAATGCATGGGATTATTGATCAAAATGTAAAACACTAATATCTTTACTTTCATATATTCAACTCTATTAATTCAAGAAAAGTATCGTAACATTACAAAATATGTTTCAGGGCGCATTGTGAATTTTGGATGATGTCTATTTGCAAATTCCAAAGATGTTTTTTAAAAGAAATGATATATTTGACGTTTAAAATAGAGTACTTTTTCTTATCACTTTCTATTGATGGGACAGAATACTGAATATCACATCATGAGCTGATTATTCCTTTTTTGAGATTAACTTTGCTTTAGCGTAATATTGTTAGTGTAAGTTTTAAACTAAATTGTCAAGCAGTCAGTCGTAGATACGAGTCTGATAAACTTCATTTATAAATTTGGAAATAATTTCTAAGAGATAATCCTGAAAATAATGTATTATTATTTTAACTTGTAAAATTGTTATGATCTGTCCACCTCTATTGGAAAAATAACTCAATATTCACGTATGAAAGATGGGTTGTTTCTTTTGACAAAAACAAAGATAAAAATGTTTTCAGAATTAACCCGAAAAACGTATCATATATAAAATGTGTAAATAATGACACTGTTAGTTTAGATTTTTGAATATCTTTGAAACAAATTTGATAAATATTTTTGTTTTCTTCGAAATCTTAAGTTTATTAAAAAAAATAAATCCATCCGCTAAAGAAAATAAAAAGACGTTAATACGTGTTTGAATACATAACTCAAGAGGAAGATGAAAAAAAAAAGCAACATTTGTAGCCATGTGTAATTTTTAACATGGACATGAAGCCTAATTGTTTCCAATGCTTCGTCAGCTTTCGGTGCTCAATTACATAAAATTTAAATGTTTATGTTACTTATAAAAAATAGAATTTCAGGTAGACTTTTGGCTTCCAATTAATAGTCACAAGTCTCTAGACAGTTTCTTGTACAACAAAAAAGATCTCCAACGCTATTTCAACACATCTCAAGTTTGAAATTACTTAGAAGTAGTGAATAAGACTGTTGAGCATGTTTATACAAGATAAGTAGTTAATAAAAAGAGTTTTTATTTTAGAGCAAAGCCACATTGGGGTATCTGCTGCGTCCACTGAGGGGAATCGAACCCCAGATTTTAGCGTTTTAAGTCTGGAAACTTACCGCTGTCCCATCAGGGGACAATAAAAAAAAAGGGGCGGATAAATGAAACAGTAATTACTTAAATATCTGCACGACATTGTAATGAAAGTAATTCAATAGAAAACAAAAAGTAGTCGCCAACGTCAGACTTTTTAACTTTTCTATTTCAAACCACAGATAATTTCCAAGAGAAAACCAATACTCTATGAAATCAAACTAACCATTAATAATAATTGTTATTCTTGCTAAACAGGATAGAATGAAATAAAAATTATTAAACATATATACAAACACGCAAGGTTATATTTCACCCTATGTTTCTCTTTTTCTCTGGAATTTTTTATCAATGACAGAATTGATGTAATACATATCATACATGAATTTACACTTCTCCCATGTCAATTTTACTATTCACCTACAGTTTTATATACTGTTATAACTCATGATGAAGGCATGTTAGTTCTACAACACTTTCTTAGTCAAAAACAGTACTTTTTTTACACCATGCGATACACTACTGAAGTTTGTTCTCAGCTTAAATCCTTTCAAATTCAATAGAGATTAAAACGGATCTCTTGTTTGCAATCTTTTCATGGCACACCTCGAATAACTATTATTCAACAGTTTCAGTAGAAAATATCGTGATCTTTTTTTTTGAAAGGTACCTTGACGACATCACTCATCTATGATATTGTTGACAAGTGAGAATTCACACACTTAAAGGTGTATATTTACAATAAAAGTTCACAGTCAAGCTATCATATTGTTGATAAGTGAGAATTCACACCCTTAAAGGTGTATATTTACAACAAATAAAAGTTCACAGTCAAGCTATGATATGGTTGACAAGTGAGAATTCACACCCTTAAAGGTGTATATTTACAACAAATAAAAGTTCACAGTCAAGCTATGCATTTCTAACAGCTTATTATTATGACATATCTATTGACGACGAGGTCTTTCCATCAATACCAGAGCACATAAGGTCTCATTTTATGGTGTGAATTTGGAAAGAGAATAGAAAGTCGTGTAAGTTGTACGTGAAAATAAAATAAACAGCAACTGTTAATAAAAATCACTTACACTGAGCTAATTTTACAGTTGTTATAAAATTTAATAAACATTTTTTGCGAAGACATTAACTTTTAAAAATGTGTACATTTACAATTACGCTTACTTGAATGTACTACACACTAAATCTTTACACTGAACTAAATGTACTATACACTAAATCTTTACACTGAACTAAATGTACTATACACTAAATCTTTACACTGAACTAAATGTACTATACACTAAATCTTTACACTGAACTAAATGTACTATACACTAAATCTTTACACTGTAATGAATATACTACACATTAATATTTACACTTCTTAAAAATATCTCTATTTAACATTGTGTGTGTGAAATCACTTTTTGTATGAAAGAGATCGAATTTACACATTTTTGGGTGTAGTTCCTACATACTTCACGCTAATAAATGTGTTTTCAAAGTACCTTTGTTGAATAAATTCATGATTTCTTTAATTTTGTTCAAAACTTTTACTCTGCCCTAAATTGCACTTATGCACTTTTCTATAAAATAATCTCCCTTCCCTTTCTAGAGTTCAATATTCCCATTACGAAAAACAAACTTTTACTCTGCCCTAAATTGCACTTATGCACTTTTCTATAAAATAATCTTCCTTCCCTTTCTAGAGTTCAATATTCCCATTACGAAAAACAAACCTGAGTTTTTGTTTACTGCAGCTCTATACAAAATCACCTTTTTCTTTATTATACTACTCTCCTTCCAATAACAACAATAAAACGATATTTATTAAGAATGGTTCTAAGGCTTAGAAGACTTTGTTCAAATATAGAAACTTTTCACACATATTCAGAAATAATCACTAGCTTCTTGCAAGACAGACAGAGTTCCAATAAAAATATTTCAAGACTAGAGCTGATAATTCCTCTATCCCTCGTGCATAGAACCTTAAAATCTAAAGAAATATTTTAAGTTGTCTAACATCATTCCACCATTTTTGACATCACACTCTCAAAACTATCTCATTAACTGAATAATAATAACAAGTTATTTTGAAATCAAAGACTATATTCAGTCTTTAAGAAAGTTCTTTGGTTTGTCACAAATTCAAACAAAACTTCATTCCGTGCAAGACCTCTATCCAATAATGGAACCAGCTTCGTGTACAACGTATCTACCCAAGTTGTGACTACTTGAACACCAGCACTGAATACACCAAGCTTTCAATTTAATAATACTTTTCGTAGACTCCAACGACAGAAACACTGACTTTCCACTACCAAAATATTTTAATATATATATTAATAATACATTTTTATTACGTGCTAACATGAGTAATTATTGTCATTACTATTTAGTTTTGGTTTTGGAATGCTCTGTAGCTTTACGTCCCTGGTCTACGGACTTACAACACTAAAATTCGAGGTTCGATTCCCCCTCTGTGGACACAGCAGATAGCCCAATGTGAATTTGCTTTAAAATAAACAAACTGTGTGTTTATTGCTCAACCTAATGAAGAGCAGTTCCATGAAACGTATTTGAAATATAAAGTAAAAAAAGTGTGACGTTTCCTTTGTTATTTTTATGTAAGTCAAACCCTAAGCATCTGGTATTAGCAAAGCTGTAGTTGTTTACAAGTTACATAATGTTAAGGGTTAGTTTAGGTTAAATTTGATTCGAAGACGCTGAGAAAGTAGATTTATGAAACTGTTTCTCTTTTTTTGTTTTTCTTAATGTAGTTGAAAATGCCTGTTGTGTTTTTAAGCTTGTTTTCTTTAAATATGGTACAAATCATTATAGTTTATAGAATCAACAAATGATCAGTGAGATACATACATATATTGTCATATCTTACGTTTTGTTCTCCGTTTTAATATATATAATTATCAAAGTTATAATATCTCAATATATATATATAGCAATCTAATGTGTATCAGAAAATTATGTATTTAAGTCAGTTATACACATCTTTCTTCGGTGTATAATCTAATTCAACTGTTGTCATCTGAACCTAGGAAGGCAGCCAAAAACACAGACAGAACAACCAACCTCCGCCTACGATGAATCGTGCATAGTTATTCGTGCCAGATATCGGAGGATAACAGCACCTCCTCGAATCGACAATGGTTACGCCAAATATCTCCGTAGAGTAAAAAATATTAACAATGCCTATATGTTCGTCGTATATCAGTGTAAAGCTAACTACGTTTTTCTTGATCCAAATGCAAGTTCTCTGTACTGTCAAAAAAAGAAATGGGTGGGCAAGCCTCCAAAGTGTGTATCAAAAGGTGAGTATTTTGTCATATGAAAACGCTACACATAGTTCATAGAAAATAATGATTTTTTTATGTGCAAATAATAATAATTACAATGACGGTAATTCTGGAGAAATTGTTTTATTTACAAGGTGAATCCGGACATGAGATAAATAACTATAATATATATACATATGACTTTACACACACACACATAGATATATCTATATACACACGAGTGTGAATGTTTTCTCCCATTAAATGTTTATTGTGCAGTTTACTGTCTGACTTAGTTTTAAGCAGTATGATCATGAATGTGAACACGGAAGATGCAGGGCATATTTTAATGCGGGAAATAAATGCTACATTTGTGAGTAATAGTTTAAGTTTCTAACATCCGTGGGAGTGGAAAATGCATTTCCTTATCACCCCTTCTCTGTTATATACATACGTATATGTTTAAAATTAATAGGTTAATAACGATGTCTTTTAGTTGCTATTCCATGAGTGTATTCACACACCGGTTGGCAGGGTAACCTTGAGTTGCTATTCCATGAGTGTATTCACACACCGGTTGGCAGGGTAACCTTGCTGTATTTAGTGATCTGATTTTCTGAATAGATATCAACATACAGGTTATATCACACAGTTTATTATCATTCTGAAATCAAGCGAAACTTAATCAGAGTTTGAAACTCCGCACTTAAAGGAGGGAGACCCCACCCACGCACCCACGCACCCATGCCATACATACACACATACATAGACGGGGTGATACACAACTTTATATGAGCATTTTATTTTTATTTTTTGTTTTGTAAAACAAGATTATGTGTGCGTGTGTGCCATATTTATCAATTTACGCGACTTGTTATCTATAACTCTGTCAGTAAGACTGAATGATAGAAATGTAAAGATGTCAGAGAAAATCATAAACCAGCTCCTTTAAGGGAGTGGAATGCAACATCCTCTTCAATTACCACTCTTATGTTATAAATATCAATCATACACCATTATATAGGTAAGTTGAGATGTCATTAAGCTTGTTTTAAGTGCTACGTGTGTGTGTTTTATTATTTGGGTACGCTACCCAAAAATGAAAATATTATGCAATAACCTAATATTGATGTTAAAAATCAATAATTATTTTTGTCATAAGCTATCTAATAAGGAAATAATTTCCGTTTTTAATTACACTTTGACATAGACAGTTCTTACGTGCTTGTTTATTTAAGCTACACAAGTATATGTATTATATCATTCGTATGTAAGTGTTTATATACAGCAACGAATGAAGTACAAGAGCTACATACAAAATATTATACCACCGAGTTACATCGCGTTATGACTGTTTCTCTACATAAACTGTTTCATCCCATTAATATTGGGCATTGCGTGTGTTTATATTTTACTGAACAATTGTTTTTTCACATTTGTTCCAATTATAGCTTTCTGTTGATGTGCTCTTGTGTCTCCATGAACAATGTTTCTATATTGTTACTTTTATTATCATTATTATTACATTAAAGTAAATATGAATTTGTCATCAACATATTTATGTTTTTGAATAATACTTTTCTGTTGCTACGATATTCCATCTATGTTATTATCTTACGATGTATTTCGAAATATGTGTTTTTTTTTAGAAAACATATACATACATAACTGTCAACCCGCAGCCTAATAAGTATCATTTTCGAGGCCTTTCAGTTATTTCAAGTTTTCGAACAAAACCTAGAAATAATTACAAACTTAAAACTTGTGCCGTTTTATATTTTACTGTTGCTCAATCTTCAGTTTATATATACCAGAATAACAAACGAATTTCCGTTTTGTAATTAATTGTTAAACTCCTATATAATCAAATAATCATTGGTAAGTAAGAAACTTTATTTTCAACTAATTTGACTAAACACCAGAACTTTAGTAGAGCCAACTTTTTAGAAACATCGATCGTCATAAATATAATGATAATAAAGTAATCCAAGATGCATCAAATGCTATCAGTTAATAGATGTAGTTTGTTTGATATTACTTTGATTATTTTCAGTATACACTGTGTTTTTTAATGTTGTTTTTTAAGGATGTGAGTTTCTCCAGGAACATGGCTTTCCGTTTGGATATTTTATGTATTCAATTAAGAAACAATAAATTACTATTCTAAAAGGACTAGCAAATGAGAACTAATTTATTTCTAAAAACACTCCATTAAATATATTCACTAAATAAAATGAATTAACTTGCGGATACGTTCGATTAAAAAATGACTAAAGCCTACCTATAAACTATAATAAATATAAATTGCTAAATTACGATTATTTTAGACTTGAGTGAAAAATATTTAATTGCAGATACAACTAATGAAACAATACTAAACTACAGCTACTATGAATAAACCTATTAAAACACTCCTCTAATGAATGGAACTTATAACCTTACAATTATAGAGAATAAAAATATTAATGTAGTAAAAAAGAAAAATCAACGAAAGTATTAAAATATGGTTAAAATAAATTAAGACACGCCTACGACGAATGAAATGCGATAAATTACAGATATAGTAAAAAATAAAAAGAATACAATTAATAAAACTACGCTATATATATATATATATTTACTATCAAATAAAGTTTTAGTTACGTTGATAGATATCCTATAATTAACTATAACAGAATAAACGCAACCTACTTATAATTCATAATTATTTTAATAATGATGCTTACTGTCTAACTGTATTAAAATGTTCAAACAACCTTTAATTAAAATATTTTTGCAGCCGATGAAATAAAACTATGTAGTTATGCTCGCCTTTAAATGTGTATTCCAGCTTAACTCGAAACTGAGAAGGTTTGAATTAGATTTGTATGGTGACTGAGTGTGAAGATCAATAAAGATGAGTACTCAACGTGTGTATAGAACAGATAAAGGAACGTAGTATAACCACCAGTAATACTTCATTCGAACACACGATAATGAGTATTCAACATGCGTATAGAACGGATAAAAGAACGTATTATAAACACCAGTAATACTTCATTCGAACACATGATAATGAGTATTCAACATGTGTATAGAACGGATAAAAGAACGTATTATAACCACCAGTAATACTTCATTCGAACACATGATAATGAGTACTCAATATGTTTATAGCACGGATAAAAGAACGTATTATAACCGCCAGTAATACTTCATTCGAACACATGATAATGAGTATTCAACATGCGTATAGAACGGATAAAAGAACCTATTATAACCACCAGTAATACTTCATTCGAACACATGATAATGAGTAGTACTCACCATGCGTATAGAACGGATAAAGGAACGTATTATAACCACCAGTAATACTTCATTCCAGAGCATGATGATGAGTACTCAACATGCCTATAGAACGGATAAAGGAACGTATTATAAACACCAATAATTCTTCACTCGACCACATGATGTTAAATGGACGTCTAATATTGATTTTAAGGAAAATTTTTAATTTGGTATATTTTGATTATAACAGTTTCTACATATTTTAACACAAACAGCTTAGTGGTACTTAAAATCGTAAAATGACATTTTACAAAAGCGAAGTGTAATGTTACGAAACAATGGAAATAATATGAATGTTAAAACTCAAAAATATACTTGATAACAAATACTATAATAAAAGAAATGTTGAAAAATATTGAAAAAAATTAAAAATAAACCGAAAATTAATTGCAAAATTAAACATGGTATAATAAAATGGAACTTAAAAAAATACTAAATATAAAAAAATCTATGTTTCATAATATATAAACAATTCGTAATAGCGGTGTTACTATTACCTAAACAAGGCTTGTAAGTTATGTGTACTGCTTGAAATACTGGCAAACTTCATGAAGAAACCATTTGTGTCTACTTATTATATACACTATTCCAAGTTTCGAGACTAGGTATACCCATGCAACAACTGGTGTTGAAAATCATCGCATATTTAAACTAATAACACAGGCCTGCGATGGATTTATGGTCTTGAAATTTGTACATGTTATACAGTATTTCCTAAACGCTGAATGTGAAAATGATATCCATTTTTCTCCATCACGTAGAGATTTGTCACAAAACGTCATAACAACGTAATACATAAAAGAAAGACCACAACACGTGGTTTTGAGACTAAAAGACGAAGATGAATTAGGATGCATATTCGTTTAACATCAATGTCCTTCCCTTTTCTTCAGTTTGTTTGTATTCTTGTTAACAAACATAATAATAAAAAATGTTCATTGTGGTAAACGAAATAATAATTTGACCTAAATAAGAGTTTTTTTCTTCTTCCCGATTTATGAAAAATCATTACGTGATAGAACAAAATGAATGTTATTTCCGAAATCTGTGTAGCAGAATTATGGAAATCCGTTATTAAAATCAAAACAGCTTTTATGAAGTTTAAATTCGCAGGCCCGTGTAATCAGTAAATAGAACAATGTAATTTTTAACGAAATGGGGGGACAGTAGAAAGGTTTATTTATTTCCTAAAGAAAAAATAGTAAATGTCAAACGTGAGGACCAACATTGGCAATCGGATAGAAACAGAATTTATTATTCAACTTCCAAATTTACAAACCAGTGGCACAGCGGTATGTCTGCGGACTTACAACACTAGAAACCGGGTTTCGACCCCAGTGGTGGGCAGAGCATAGATAGCCCATTGTATAACTTTGTGCTTAACTTCAAAAAACAAACCATAAAACTAAAATTTTATTTAGATTTCCAAGTCTTCTGCCACTCTTGTCGGTCAAAAGTAGAATATAGTTAGTCTTGATAATATATAAATATATATATATAGACATATATGTACAAACAAAATTATTTGTTCAATTTAAAAAAAAATCATTCAATGCTACTTGATGTGTTTTTTGTTTGTTCTTGGTTGATTTTGTTTCAAAAATAACAATAAAAGAATCATATACGCCAAATATTTATTTTATATACTTAGTTAGAAAAGTTTCCGCCAAAAATTTGTTTTATATATACCTAGTTAGAAAGGAATCTACGTCGGAATGTGATTTTTTAATCAGGTCATAAATTCATGATTAAACAAACAACAATGGTAGTAAAGTAAACACTCAAATCAGATTTCGTTATTTTTACAACAGAAAAAGTAAATTCTTCTGATTTTCAAAAGAAAAACATATATATTTTGTTCGAATTTGCATCTGGGTCCCAGTGACGTTGAAACTTAATTGTCTGCAGTTGTTTCAAGCAGTTCACATAGCAGTTGTTTTTATTTTTTTAGATCTAATATATGACTATGTTTACAACCTAAACCACATGGCAAACTTCTTATTAATTTTAGATGCAGATAGCAGCTTTAATATGTATAACAAGTTTGTGTGTTTCAAACTAAGAACAATCCAATGGCATAGCGGCATGTCTGCGGGCTTACAACTCTAGAAACCGGGTTTCGATACCCGTTGTGGGCAGAGCACACATTGTGTAGCTTTGTGCTTAACTTAAAAAAAGAACAACAGATTAAACCAAGAATGTTTGTGTTATATTCTGGAAAGATATAAATCATTTAGAGAAAAAATGTCAAATAAACAGAACAAAAGAAAATTAGTTTGTTTGAAAGGAAAAAGTAATTCAATAACAAAACTGAGCATTTATGAGTTAAAAATGAAGTAAACGTTTATTTTATTTCCCATGATATATAATTTGTGTATATATAAAAAAATAACTTCGCTATTTACTTATTTATAAAAGTGTTTTTTGAGATATCAGGATATACATTAAAGTTTTAACACAGTGAAAGTTCGGCGTTTATTTGTATTAATACTTCGTTCTAACGAGAAAGTAATGTTATTTGTCATCTCCTAATACAAAATTAGTTATCATGATTTATTTTATTAAATTGTTATAAAACAAAATGATTTATTAAGATTAATACACATCTTAATATTTTAAGGATCTGGTACGATCCAAAATCCTGTCCATGATACCCTATTAGGATACCTTTGACTTGAACTTTCAGTGAAAACTTTTGTTCTTCTTGAGAGGCTTATTAAACAACTTAAACTATTTAATAGATAATGTTAATGAATTGAGAAAGGAAAATAAAATAGGAGTCACGAGACCAGTTTGTAGAGTTTCCAACGGAGGCTGTAAACATCGCTGCACCGAATGGAACGGACAAGCCTTGTGTTCCTGTTATCCTGGTTTTTACTTGGCTCAAGACAAGAAATCATGTCTACTTAAAGGTGAGTTATAGAGCCCTTATTTGACCTCGAATAAAATTTGTAGCTTAGTTGGTTCTCATTTACCAAGTTCACTTGTTCTAATTCAGTTCTAAACTAAATTACAGTTTGAAACTATTTTCCCTTCGCTTGGTGGAGAATTTGCTCTTTCATTAAGAGTTCAAGCTCACTGTGTAGCGCCACTACCACTACAGAATTACTACTTTTCAGGACTTCCCCGAAGCAGCAAATTAACAGCCGAATGATAGGGAAAAACTAGACAGTAATTAGTAGTTAATAAAAAATATATAGCTAATTAATAATTAAACTTAGGTGATCATATAGGTTATTAACCATGAAAACTACTCCTTATACACTATTAGATGCTACAATGACGCCAGGTCCGGACAACTTTTCTCCAAATATGGAAACAAAACGACTGATAACATCTAAATCCCTGATTTGATTTATTAATCCTTAACGAATGTACTACTATTAAACACTTCAATACTTTAGCATTTTCTCATATTCCACAATATTACATTCTATCCAGATTGTTTTATGATTTTTCACTGATGAATTGTGAAGTGAGCTAATACGAATGCTCGACATCATGTGAAAATTACATGTTGTGTATATTCTACGAGTTAGATTGTGTGTAGCAGTTGCAAGATGGTCTATATCTAGGGTGACATTTGAATACGTAATTGTCTTTAATACATTCTGCGTGGAAATTGGAGAGTGCTTTAGAATATTATTACATTATGCTAAGCGTTGTACGGGTACTGAGTTTACTGTCAAATATGTAATCTCTTCGAAGGTATTACATACAATGAACGGTGCTTGATATCATTTACGTTGCATTAATCAGTTTACAGTACATGAGAAAATTTAACTGGTTCAGTTAAGCGTGATATGTATATATACTAAGTTTATTTGTTTTCAAAATATACCCAAAGCAAGGTGAAAAATAAAGGATGAAATAACCAAAAACCAAAATTGAAAAAAATGCTACAACAAGCTAAAAATACTAGTCTTTTGAAAGTTTAGTTTTTTTAAAATAGAAACAAAAGTTTATATTGGAGACCAATAGGGATGACTAAATGCATTGTCTATCATTTCAAAGTTCGCGGTACGTCTTCGGATTTACAACACTAAAATCAGCGGTTCGATTCTCCTTGTGTAAACACAGTAGATAGGCCGATTTGGCTTTGCTATAAGAAAACACAAAAACAAATAGCATAAATCAAAATTTTAAACTATTGATGTGTGTTCATTAATCCAAACAGTTTCATTTATAGGTGAATTCCAATAATGCTGTATTTTATTCAAAGAAAGTTGAATATAGATTGTGTATGAGTACTGGTGAATTTATACATTAAAATATCTGAAATCGTTAAGTGCTTTAGCTTGTGAAATCATAAATAACTGAGAAAAGAAGAATTTTCAAATTAAAATATTAATTCAATTGTTAGAGAAATCAGAAAAAATCAGCAGTAAAGATAACCAGTTTGATAATTTTATTTCTTGTCGTTAGCTTTCCTATATTAAAAAGGGTTGCCAGCGTATCAAGTATGTAAATATTTACTATAATCCCATTAATTATTTTTTTATATTTATATTTTTGTCTTAGTTAAAAACTGCCCAAAGCTGAGATCGCCTCTCAACGGTCAAATACAAGGATCTTGTGACAACAGCTATAAATCTACATGTTTTTTTAGTTGTAATGAAGGTTATAAACTTCAAGACCCAGGCAGCTCTAAACGGGTTTGTCAGAGATCAGGGACATGGTCTGGTGATACGCCTTTTTGCCAGCGTAAGACTCGTTTTATTTGTTTTCTTAAGTTTCGTATCACTTTTTGTGTATGTGTGTGTGTGCTCTAAACTTCAAAATCATCTTTGATACAATCTGTAACTTGTTCAGTAAAACTAGCTATGAAATTCTATTAGTTTTGTAATCAATATCTGTTAGACCATTTTGGGTCGCTTCTTTGTGAGTTGATATTTATATATTCTTAAAACATGGATGAAAATCTATAAGACTCTTCTCCTATCTTCTCATTAGTTAAAAATGACTTAGAATATCAATATGAGGAAACTGATTCGAATTTTTAGTACACTTGGATAATATCCATAATAAACGACATTCAGATTTCATTTAGTGATGAAAGATGGGTCCTTTCATTTAAAAGAATCGTTCAATATAATCCTCAAAATAAAGATGATTTTTTTCTAAAAAGTAATCTGGCTTTACCTACAACAAAACACTTTAATTTAATTATAAGTATTGCTCGCAACTAAATACGTCACACACACACACATGAATATACACAGGGTTTATTGCGTTATAGTAAAACTAATTTGGTTAAGCAAATTATCAAGTCACGTAACAAACACAGCCGATGGACGACAAGTATCAGAACTCCTTTTTTTACATTCTTTGGCGTTGTGTAAGTAGGGTTTGTTGCTGAATTTCGCGCAAAGCTACTCGAGGGCTATCTGCACTAGCAGTCCCTAATTTAGAGGGAAAGAAGCTAGTCAATACAAACCACCACCAACTCTTGGGCTACTCCAAGTGCATAGTGGGATTGACCGTAACATTATAACGCCTCCTTTCTCCATGAATGAAAGGACGAGCATATTAGATGATGAGATTTGAGCCCTCGTCCCACAGGTTACGATTTGAACACCCTAACAACCGGGCTTGTAAGTAGTGTGATGCCACCGAACATGGGCCCGGCATGGCCATGTGGTTAAGGCGCTCGACTCGCTATCTGAGGGTCGCGGGTTCGAATCCCCGTCACACCAAACATGCTCACCCTTTCAGCCGTAGGGGTGTTATAATGTGACAGTCAATCCCACTATTCTTTGGTAAAAGAGTAGCCCAAGAGTTGGCGGTGGGTGGTGATGACTAGCTGTCTTCCCTCTAGTCTTACACTGCTAAATTAGGGACGGCAAGCGCAGATAGCCCTCGTGTAGCTTTGCGCGAAATTCAAAACAAACAAAGCCACCGAACATTTTTCGCTTTTGGGAAAGACATGTAACAGCCCTTTCAGACACAAAATATTTGTACGCTTAGGTCATAAGGATTTGTTGAGATTGAGGTTTTAGAGTTTTCAAGACGGGGATGTACCTTATATTATATGTTATTTGAAAACTGAGGACTGTGGATTAACTTGGGACGTCAGAAAGAGATCTCCATGAAGTCTTACCCCAACCGTGTTACGCAAAGTGTGGTGTCTTCCAACGAACACAAAGATTAGTCCACGTGACCCAGAAAACAGTACAAAAAATAATTAATATGGATCTCCGTCTGGAAACAAGACCAACAGGGTCTTACAAAAATAAGGTTTTCATTTATACCTCCTTTCAACCGTTTCACACCTCAAGCAGCTGGATAATGAGATGGGTATTCATGCTATTCGATAAGAAGATGTACTGATTTCATCGTCGTACGTACTGTCTATGGATTTCTGAGCGATCGGATTTTTGAAACGGGGGTTGAAAAACCATCGTATTCATACACTGGATGGATTATGGAAATCGTGTGAGAAGTAGCGGTGTGCTTTGTACCTTACGAAATTATCGGCCAATTAAAATTACGCTGCAGGGCTATTGTCAAGACGTGCGGTCGTCAGATGGAGCACAATTGGACGAAGTAACTTTAACTGTAACAACTCGATGAGGCTCCAAAATTGTTATGTTTTAACATACTCAACTTTTACACTTTGTAAATGTAAATCCATCATCATTGTAGTATTGATAAAGTTCTGGTTTACTTCTGAGCAAACTATAGAAGTCATTAAAATGTCTGTATAATTCTTTGTATGTATATCTATGTGGTTTAAGCACAGTTTCATAAATGGTTTAATTAGAATTAGAATGAAAAAACATAATTCCACAAAGAATAAAATTCTTCGTAACTTCAATAATGTTCACTTAATAAGTTATGTTCTTTCTCTTAATAAGTTATGTTCTTTCACTTAATAAGTTATGTTCTTTCACTTAATAAGTTATGTTCTTTCTATTAATAATTTATGTTCTTTCACTTGATAAGTTATGTTCTTTCTATTAATAATTTATGTTCTTTCACTTGATAAGTTATGTTCTTTCACTTGATAAGTTATGTTCTTTCTCCTGGGAGAAGGCTGGTTTTGAGGAAACGCGAAGAACAAAGTTGTTGGGATTTTATTGTACTAAACATAAGTGTTTTTAATGAAATCAGTCTCGGGATATCAGTAGTTGACTATGTTTTCACTGGTAGTTTAACTGATTAACAAACTTCTTTAAATGTCAGTGTTTTATAACTACTCATCACGGAAACTTGGAAATAAATATTTAATGTTTTCAATTACAAATTTAAAAACATGCCATACCGTGTTTAGAATGCATTATTATAATTTAGTTATCTAATTAACTAAGAACTATTAGCTTTACTTACTGCCTAAAGCAAATTATGATAGATATAAAGAATTTGCAGTTTTTTGATTTCTAACTTTTGAAAAGTGTCAAGAAATAAATAATAAATAAATTTATCATAATTTGTTTTGTTAAGGGTTTGTGTAAATGTTAACAAATATGATCAAATTCAAATACTGTTTGAACACAACAAAAATCGACTATACCTTAGCATATTTATATCATAAATACTATTAGTGACTTAACTGAAGTCCTTGTAAGGATTAATTTTAACTGGCAAAATCAACATTTATGTATAACTCAATGAAACGTGACATTCTCAGACACTACTTAACAGACTTCCTTCTTGAAATGTTTCTGACAGTCATAACATGTCCTCCACTGGAGCCTCCTGTCAATGGTCGGCTAGTAACTTACTGTGAAAACAGTTACAAGTCTAGCTGTATGTTTGTCTGTGACGATGGTTATCAACTTCAAGACCCGAGTAGTGCTCGGCGCGAGTGTCTGATTTCAGGAAGCTGGAGTGGAAAATCAACAGTGTGTCAACGTATGAAAAGTTATTGTTTCCCATGTTTAATTAAATAAGCAAAAAAATATTTTACATTAATGATTCTAACCTTGATTATGTGCACCTAAATTATATACTAAATGTGCGTTTATTAGATTTTTACAAATCAAAAATTTGAACATAATTAGCATGTTATATTCGTTTCTTGCTTACCTTATTTTCACTATAGCCTTACATATATTAAAGACGTTTTTGCATTGAGTGTGAGATTTGTTGCTCTCTTTCCAATGCCTTATAACTTAACAATTTATTATGTCCATTCAATGAAATTGCGATACTAGAATTTATATAGTGAGTTTCAGAAATCCTTTATATATTGATCAAATGTTGGATGTCTTATAAAACGCACTTATTTTATACTAGATTTTTCCATAAACTAATCATTTGGAGGACATTAATAATTTTTTATTTCTACTTTAGAAAAAATGTGATAAATAAGATAAACCAATGTTGAAGACCTAAATTTTTTAGGATACTTTTACTTAACTTTAACCAACTGTCTATTTTAGAATATTATAATATAATTTATAAAACTTATAATTAAGGTTTGATTTGTAGTATATTCGGAGCAATTTCATGTCATATTATACTATTTTTATTATTATTTGGTTTAAATTGTGAAAGGTAAAATCCTAAACTGGGTGTTAAATCTACGTTACTGACAGTAAGTGAAGATACCACACATTACCGAGATGTAAAACATACTTGTTTTAATTTCGTGTCTTATTACGAAGTTCCAATACCTTTCACTTTTACATTGCGTGATAACATTGTGTTACTTTCATTTTAATACAAAATTAATTATATTTAATGTAGATGTGTCGTATATTAGTGTTATTTTGTTTTATGAAATGTTGATAAGTATGCTTTGCCATATTTCTCTATCATCTAGGTCCACATTTTATTTACAGTCCTCCAATCATCAACTACCAATCACCAACACTTAACATTCCAGCTTATTCATTACTGGTAATTCAATGTAAAGGAAGAAGACCACTAGCATGGAGTATACCAGCAGAAGTTGTTAGTACTATTCCCAATAATCTGATATAAGATACTATTCAAAAAACATTTTTATGGCATAAAATGAAAATATAACACCACAGTTCTTTTTGTTATTTCTATTCTGTGTCGCATAATTGAGTGCTAAGATGAATGAAACTATATAGATTAAGAAAAAAATTGTAATGATTTATTATGAAATGTAATTCATAAATCACTTTCTATTGTTAGAAAGGTCACGCCATTCACTACTTCTATGGTTGTTTTAAAGCGTCTCCTAGTGGACATGTCCAATGTTATTGTTTTACTGATAGTGTTTATTATGAACTGGAAAATGTCCAAACATTTTACAAAACTTCTTGGTGGACTCGATGTTTTATGCTTATACTTTCAAGGCAGTTTCTTATAGTTAGTTAGTTGTAATGAAACACAAAGGTAGACAATGGGCTATATGTGCTCTACCCACCACGTGTATCGAAATCCGGTTTCTGACGTTGTGAGCCCGCAGCCATACCGATGTGCCACTGGGGGACAGCTTCTTATAGATGTTTGAAATATATATATAAAAAACAAATTAACAGTTAAAACATAGTTCAATTTTGTTCAAAACTTCTTGAGTATGCGATACATAATTTTATATAGTGTTGGGTATTTTGAGAAATATTTTAAATTTGATTTTAATTATTCGCTAGTGAGATTTTATCCGTTTTATTAAACAGCCAATATGAAAAAAGTACAGCAAGACAGCCAACAAAAGTAAAATTTATTCTTAATTAGTCTCGTGTAGAGTTATATCAGTAAAAGTGCGTTGACAGCATTTCATCTACTGTTAGCTGGAGACCACTGTGAACAAACTGAGCGACAAGGTTTGTTAGACCAATTCCTATTTAGATCAGTCCTCAGTATTTTTCTAAAGATGCATGGTTCAGAAAAGTACTTGATAAGTTAATTGTTGTTTTGTATTTATGGCAAAGCTACTAAGGCTATCTACCCCTGCCCCAAATTTTGAACTATTGAGTAGAGGTAAGGCAGCCAGTGAATAGTACCCACTGTCTAAGATAAAGTATTATATCGCACCCAAAGCTTAAAGTGCCTAGATTTGAGTCTTGGGTCGCCAGCTTCAAAATCCAAAGTTCTACCACTGGCCCAACCGCACCCGACTGAAACCACTTTGCGATTAAAGATAAAAATGTAAACCATGTTCAAAACCAATCCTACACCCATAGTAAACGTGAATTTCAGCAAGGCTGTCAGATATCTGTTAAATATTAGAAATATCAGATCTGTATGCATTTTCCATTTAATAGTCCATGCTTAAAGAAAAGTACTCAAAGATTAAATATTACACATCTAGATTATTCACAGTATAATGACCCCCAGTTGCTCAGTGGCAAGTTTGAAGGTTTATAACATTAAAAACCGAGCTTTGATACCCGTGATTGCACAGAACAAACAGTCCATTGTGTATAACTTCGAACTTAACAATAAATATAATACCAAACTACAAATATTCGCAGTAACTATACTTGTATGAAACAAGACTTAATAAACTCTAAATTATTCTCAGATTTATCATTTTAAATTACCAAAGATAACAAACTGAAATACTTTTTGATAACATCTGTGTTTCAACATATTAAAACTTTGTAAAATAATTATATTTTCCTTTTTTGTAGTGATTGAACATTTTTGATTCTTTTCTTTGTTTGTCAGAGGAACAGGTCCTACGGCAGGGCTCGAGTTAACAGTACCTATGTTCCAACTAGCGACCACTACCGATACTTTAGCGAACTAGTTATTTCAGATACAAACTACTTAGATACAGGAACTTATAAGTGTGTATACGCCAATTCAAGTTATTATGCTGGAGAAAATGCCACAGCCTTGAATATATTTGTAAATGGTGAGTTTTTATATTTATATCTTATATTTTACACGGAACATCTCATGCGCTGTCTTAAACTTTTTTTAACGATATCAGCTTTTGATTTTTAAACTTTCATTTTTTTATAACTGTTAGCAATTTCGTACCATGGCACATTGAAGGGGAACTTTAAAAAAAATAGTTATTTAACATACTATTCGAAACCTACAGTATTTATTTCTTTGTTAAACAAAATCAAACAGTAGGTTTATATTTTTATTAACTATGTTGCATATTGTGATTCTGTTAGAATGTTTAACGAAATACTTTTGTTTTATTATTGAATAATTTCATTTTTATGCTAGAAATAATTAATTCTTACAAAATTGGGTAAATTCCTTCTTTTCTTATAATGTCATGTAAAGCAGAGAGAAGCCGTTTACTGCGAAAATCTCTATTATATACTAACAGAGTATTAGATGTAACTAATGTATATGTATATTTACATTATAGATGATCACCACCTATTTCTACCCCAGTACTCAAGGATATACGTAAATCCACAAAAACCTATTGTTATTCCCTGCCGATTGACAAACTCTCGAGCTAATGTAACACTCTACAAGGTAGTTGGTGAACATGAAGAAAGCATTATTACTGGTTATGATGTTCATTTTGACCCAGCTCTAGGATTTACCTTCCGATATCCAAATATTTACTATCAGGGAATGTTCCTATGTCGAGGCGCCTTGGATGATTACAGAGAAGAGGTTGTATTTTCCCTGGATCCCTATTGTAAGTGAAGAATATTTCTGTTAACATTTTTCTTTTTTCTTCGGCAGGTTTCACAAATTCTCCTAAATATATGCTTAGACTTGATTTTTGTCCTCAGCTTTACCTTTGATCCCATCTTTGATGTTTTGTCCTCAGCTTTACCTTTGATCCCATCTTTGATGTTTTATTCTCAGCTTTACCTTTGATCCCATCTTTGATGTTTTGTCCTCAGC